CAAATAAGTATGAAAGATACGGTTCATGTACTCCATGAATACTCCCGGTGCATTACTAACACCGAAAGGCATCACCGAATACTCATAATGTCCATAACGCATTCTAAAATCCGTCTTCTGGATATCTCCATCCTTCACTTTAATATGATGGTAGGACGATCTCAAATCAATCTTACTAAACAAACGAGAATCCACCAATTGATCCATCAAGTCATCTATTCTTGGAAGCAGATACTTGTTCTTAATCGTCACTTTATTCAATTGTCTATAATCAACACAAAGCCTCATACTTCCATCTTTTTTCTTTACTAGCAAGACTGGAGCTCCCCACGGAGACACACTTGGTCTTATAAATTTCTTTTCAAGTAACTCTTCCAATTGCTTCTTTAATTCTGACAATTCGATGCAAACATCATGTATCGTGCCATAGAAACAGATCTGGTACCAGGTATAAGATCAATAGAAAATTGGACTTCTCTTTCTTGTGGTACATCAAGAATTTCATCAGGGAAAATTAAGGAAATTCACGCACCACTTGCAATTCCTTAATTATAGCTTGATTCTCGACAGATAGGGATGCCATCAACGAGAACATCTGAGCCTCTTCTTGCATCAACCGCCTCAACTGTCTAGCAGACAACAGACCAGCTTCCTCTTCTTCAGGAGTAGAAAACTTCACAGACTTGTTATAACAGTTAATATGAACATAGTTATGCTCTAACCAGTTCATACCTAAGATCACATCTAACCCACTTAAAGGAAAACAAACCAAGTCAACAGCAAAGTCTATGTCAAAGATCGACAATGGGAACTTTAAACACACAAGAGAAGTAGTCACCGATCCTTTAGCTGGAGTATCGACGAACATCTCTCCATTCAAAGAAGACAACATAAGACCTAATCTTTAAACACAATCAACAACAATAAAGCAATGAGTAGCACCGGTATCAATAATAGTAATTAAAGGAGTATTATTAATGAAACATGTACCTCTGATGAGTCTGTCCTTATTAGCCATCTGATTCTTAGCCAAAGCGAACACTTTTCCAATGTTTTGCGCCTTCTTTGGTTTCTGACACTGGCTACCAATGTGTCCTTCTTCACCATAATTGAATCAAATCATCTCTTTATGCTTGCACTCATATATAGCATGTCCAGTCTTACCACAACAGAAACACCTATTCACCTTAGCAGTACACACATTTCTCTTATGCCCAAATTTTACACATTTAAAACAAAACACACCAGAAGAAACATCTCCCCCACTAGTTCTCTGACCCTGAGCAACTTTCTGTTTACCTTTACCACCTTGGGCATCGCAAGGCTTACCACGGTTCTGTTGGTGCTTACCCCTCTTCTCATTGATAATCTTATAGTGAGAATTATTATCTTCTTCATAGATCCTACAACTATCAATCAAATCGGAAAAGACACGAATCTTCTAGTATACAAATGCCTTCTTTATCTTTAGACGCAACACATTCTCAAACTTAATGCACTTTAAAAACTCTGCATTTGCCTCGCTATAGTGTGGGTAAAACTTAGCCAACTCAGCAAACTTTACAGCATACTCAACAACCGACATACTCTCTTGCTTCAGCTCAAGAAACTCAATTTTCTTCTTACCACGAACATCTTTATGGAAATACTTCTCAGGAACTCCCTACGAAACACCGCCCAAGTGACATTTTCACCTACAACTTCTAACTTCTGACAAGTCTCTAGCCACCCGTCATCAGCCTCGACTGCTAGCATATGAGTGCTATATCGAACCTTCTGTGCTGGAGTGCAGTCCATCACACGGAAGATTATCTCAATCTCCTTCAACCATTCTAACGCTCTGTCAGGATCATACTTACCCGTGAAAGTAGGCGGATTCTCCCTCTAGAAGGTCGCCAAACTACAAGATACAACATTCGCGTCAGCATTAAGATGATTCTCCATAGCATACGGCATTGCTTCTAAAGCAGCAGTAAGTGCAAGATCATTCCTTCCAACCATCTCAACTTATCACTACCACACAAACAACGGTTAGAACTCAAGTTAACAATACTGGATTGTTAGACAAACTACGACTCGACAACTTGGTCGGACGGACCGACTTGCTTTGATACCAACTTGCAAAACCCCAATTCTACCCGACACTTATAATAAAATAAGATTTATAAACTCTTGACAACCAAATCAGGATGCTACAATTTCGACTTAAAACAATGACATTCATTACAGATACATAACACATTAAACTTGGATGAGCCAACAACAACATAAATTAAACTTTTAAAACTAACAACTTTCATGACTACGCAGCGGAATCAAATATTAAACTTAAAAAGGATATATCATCTTCATCCAATTGAAACAACTTCAAATAATAAGTATTTAACGAACAACAACTTAAAGTTCAATCAAATGAAATAATAACAACAATAAAACAACAAGTGTTCATCCTCCTGAGTGTTACGTATCAGAGCAATGACATCGACTCAAACTATTGAAGGTAAACCGCATTCACTCTGGATTACATGCACGTTACCAACATCGGGGTAAACATTAAAACATAAGGGATGGGATATATAACAATATAATTAAACGTATGATAAACATTATATTAGAATCAGTTCATGCAAGATCACCGCTTCACAACTTATAAACAACAACAATCACGACAAAATATCAAAAAAATATAACGATTAATTCATCAACACAACAACTCAAATATGCAACATGAAATGCGACTCGTTACAATGCGTATGCATGTGGTACCAACGGAGCAAAACTCACAACTTAATAATTTGCAAATAATAGAGGCATCAACAAGGCATAAGCCTTCAACTTTATATTTACCAATCCATGCCAACTTAACGAGCATCAGCTCCAACATGATATGCTATGTATGCAACCACTTTATGAAACACAATAAAACAACAGTAACATATAACAACATTGGCATAAGCCTACAACTCAATAATTTCCAATCAATAGAGGCAACACAACAAAGTTCATCACCTGTAACTTCAACAATTAATAACAACAACACAATAACTTGCCAACACTGTTTTTAACACAGTCCTACTAAAATACTTCTACTAAATTATTCTGCTGATAAACCTTATTAATAGTTTTCATCTAAATTAATGAAACTATTATTTTCTGACACTAATTTACCTCTACCGCTATTTTAATTTATAAACGTTTTTCTGCTATTTTCTACTATTACTAACTTTCTGCTAACATTTACTAACTTTGTTAATTATTAATCTTAGCGGATATATTTATGCTAATCTACCAATTGTTCACTTTTGTTACTAATAAATAACTTATGATGTTATTCATTCTTTTCTAACCTTGTTACATACGTTTCTGTAACTAATTAAATAGCTATTATATATCTACATATATATTCTATAGTTATTTTATTATTCGCTTATGTGGATTAACTTTCTAAGACCATAGAAAATATTGATTACTTAATCTCTGCTACCTATAATTCATAGCTCCTGTGATAATAATTAGTGACCAAATATTATTAAAGTAGAAGACACAGTAGTAGACAACTCAACACAAGAAAATTTGGGCTTATGAGTACGTGCCCCTCGACACCCTTCTATGTGCCCCTCGGCACACATCTCTTCATATGGTGCCGGTCGGCACCCTTCTTTCCCCCGCCCGGCACACTCTTCTATGGTGTGCCCTCTTGTACACCCTGTGCCCTTCGACACCGAATATTTTCACGTGGCTTCAACACATAACCTCTAATAATTTTCTCCGATTTCTGGTCTCATACCAAAATAATATATTTATACAACAACATCAATTTTCACTAAACAAAAACTTTACAGAGACGACAATTTTACACCATTAACCATATATATTAATCATATAACCACCATTAATCATATTTATCAAAGGTATTACACAACTTTACAGAAAAACTCCCACATAATATTAATCACATACACAATTATAGAGTCAGAACCCCACCCTTACCTTGGATCTAAGGTTACTCTATAATTTTCCGCGCGTGGCCGTGTGGCCCCAGATACAACAAGACCACGCCTACCTGAGATCGCGTTCCTGTTTGTGGCAGCGACTAGTTTCGGACACCTCTGCTCGTTGCAACGACTAGTTTCGGGCACCTCCCCTAGGATGACGAGCACGAACACGAGTTTCGGATACCTACCCGAGATGTCAGTTACCTATTTTAGGGGGTCTAATATTCAGGTCCAAAAATAAGAATCAATGGTCAAACGCCAAAGATATTATATAAACTCTCACACTTGTGAGAGTCAGATATCGAATATTCAATTCTAAAATCTTATCTTCTCTCTTGTATTTCTTTACACCGTTACTTACTTAAACATCAAAGTGTTTTGCAGATAAATCTACTTTCTCCGTAATTTCAACCTTACAGGCATAGAAGTGTGTCTTAATTGTTTTGAGTTAAATTCATATAAACTCTTCATTTATGATTCAATCTATATCAACAACTGCTTTTTTTATTTTATTTTAATTTTTACATTGTATTAGTGTATATAAGTTATTGATATTTATAAATCATAAAAAAAATTTAAATGTATAACATTAAACATTTTAATATGCTTTAATATTTATTTTTAATGTTTATAAACTAAAAACTTTAAATATATAATAACCATTTTTATAATGCTTTAATACTCTCTCGCATTTAAAATAGACAAAAAGGAATTAGTTTATTTAATCTAAAACTCAGACCACATTAATATTTTTTTATCAACTTTTATTGAGTAATATATTTTTAACCTAGTAGTACTTAGCAGCTAAATATTTTGTCTAATTTTTTATTGGTTAAGAGAATTTAAAACTAATTTGTCGGCTCATGAACTTTTGGGGCCTAATTGTCTCTATAAATGGAAGTCGTTTATTTCAAGTGGAGGAGGCAACTCATAACACAGTATTTTCTCTCATTTGTTTCTCATCTCTATAGTTTCCTTCTTCTCTCTAACTTACCATCATCACTTATGGCTAATGATAATTCAGCAAGAGTTGAAACCAATGATATTGAAAACAATGATACTGTTTTAGATGTAAACAAAGATTCCTCTCAAGACTCTTATGTTCCTTTCTTGCAAAAGGTGTCTGTCTCCTAACCTTTCTTCCATGATACTTGATTTCATAGAATATGTATAAAGTATTACAAAGTTTGTTTCTCAACTAATTTATGGTTATGTTTGTTGACAGTTAATAGCAGAGGTTGTGGGAACATATTTCTTGTTATTTGCAGGATGTGCTTCAATTATAGTGAACAAGAACCACGACAACGTTGTCACACTTCCTGGGGTCGCAATTGTTTGGGGACTTACTTTGTTGGTGTTGATTTACTCTCTCGGTCATATCTCTGGTGCTCATTTCAATCCTGCTGTTACCATTGCTTTTGCTACTACAAGGAGGTTTCCTCTCATACAGGTCAACAAAACACACAAGCTTTTTACTCTATAATCTTGATTCTATCATGTTCAAATTTGATCACAGTTTGAATGGTTAAAGTGCTTTAGTTATGATTAAAGTGCTTAAAGTGGATTGTTAACAAATTTATTAAACATCTATAAAGCATAATTTATCAATGTTTTTATCGTCATTATTACTCATGATTTTGAATTTTAAAACATATATGATATTTATTTATTTTTACAAACATTTTGATAGGACGATAAAAATGGTTTTTCAGATTAAATATGCAATATTGTGAAAGTTTTTTAAGAGGAATTATTGGTATCTTGAGGCCCACAAGACACTAATACTCATTAAAGCCCATTTCTCTATAAATTGAATTTGAATAACTGTCTCATTCTTAATTTCTCTCAAGTCAGAATTTAATTTCTCTGTCCTTCTCACACCAACTTATTTTTGTAAAAACAAAATGAGAATTTCCATGTTATGCAATTATTAATCATCCCTTACATAATTGTTATAGGTACCAGCCTATATACTGGCTCAACTCCTGGGGGGTACACTAGCAAGTGGAACTCTAAAATTAATATTCAGTGGCACACATGACCAGTTCTCAGGAACACTTGCAACTGGCTCTAACTTTCAAGCTTTTGCCCTTGAATTTATAGTCACATTTCACCTTATGTTTACAATTTCCGCTGTTGCAACCGATAATAGAGCGGTAAACTCACCAAGCATATCTCGTACTTTCTCCCGTTACTATTGTTAGTAAAATTAATTTTACTGATTTACTGAATAATTGATGTATCTGGTCTGTATATCATATTGTATGTTTTGTAGATTGGTGAGTTGGCTGGAATTGCAGTTGGATCTACATTATTGCTTAATGTGTTGGTTGCAGGGTATGCTAATGCTTCCATTCAACTCAAAAATTTAACAAAATGCAAAATTACTAAGATTTATTTATATTTGATGATAACATTTATTTATTTATTTGACAGACCGATAACAGGAGCATCAATGAATCCGGTTAGAAGTTTAGGACCTGCTTTTGTACACAACGAATATAGAGGAATATGGATATTTATAATTTCTCCGATTTTGGGAGCGGTGGCCGGAGCATGGGTCTACAACCTTGTTAGGCACACTAACAAGCCATTGCGTGAGATCACCAAGAGTGCATCCTTCCTCAAAGAAGCAAAGCGTGGGGGAAACAATTGATTTCAGGAGTTGGAAAAATTTGCCATAAAGTATCATGAGCAGAATCAATAATGTTTATACCTGTGCAAATGTCTCTTAGATAAGATGAGAAAATAAAAAAGTTGTTTGTGTAATAGTGACTAAGGTACTATGGATTTTGATCATGTGCAGTTTTAAAAGGGGTTGCATCACTGCATGCACTTCCTAATTAAGGGGCTAAATTGATTGATGCTTCAAAATCTTTGATACATACATATGTTTGCATTTTATAATATCCAAAACTAATTTATAAGAAGAAAAAATATTCCGAAAATAATATAAGGAGAGAAGAATTTATAAAATTTCTTTCAAAGTGCATAAAACCTTGATTAATACTATTATGAATAAAAAGTCTGAATGACTTCATTAACTTGTAAAACTGATACAAAGCTATTTATATATGTGTGAGGATGTAGGTTTACTAAACTGGAGCTGATTATATTAGAATAAATCTCTCAAACTAACTTAACAGAAACTTTCTATATCAAAAAAGTTTACAAGTAAAGTAACTAATTACTTAGCTATTTTAGGAAAGTTCAAAAAAGATGTTATTAGAGTCTTAACTAACTTGTAATCTATTGGCTCTCTATATTGTGTGATAGCCTCCCACAAATTGGAGGATAGATAGAAATCATCCCTAACTTGGAGTGAAGTTTATGAAAAGGTTGAAGAAGGAAATGCTTGGTGAAGAAGTCAATCAATTGGTCTTTAGATGAGATTGGTAAAAGCTTGAAGAGGCTATTTTGAAGTTTTTCACAGACGAAGTGACAGTCAATTTCCAGATGCTTAGTATGTTCATGGAACACGTGATTTGCAGCTATATGAATAACACTTAAATTGTCACAATACAAGGTTGGTGGTTTGGTTGGTGACGTCTTCATGTCTTTAAGTTAATCAGTCATTGCGATTCACAAGTTGCAGCCGCTAAAGCACGATAATCAACTTTTGAATATGACTTGGACATAGTTACTTGCTTCTTCGTGCGCCAAGAAATCGATGATTTTCCTAAGAAAAAAACAATGGCCTGAGATGGATCTTCTAGTTTCTATACAATCTGCCAATAGCATTTGAGAATCCTATGAGATGAAAAAAGGAGGCACGGGAAAGAATAAACCTTGAGCAGAACTTTGTTTCACACACCGAAGCACTCTTGCGGCAGCATTGAAGTGGATATTGGAAGGTTTGTTAAGGAATTGGCTCAATTGTTGTGTGATGAATGTGATGTCAAGTCTAGTAGCGGTAAGGTAGAGAATCGACTAATAAATCTCCGATAACATGGAATATCCATATGTGCAGGTCCATTATCATGAAGCAAATTGATGGAAGGGTCTACAGGAGTGCTGGCAGGCTTGAACCAAGATAACATGTGTCAGAGCATAAATCAAGGCAATGATCCATTTGACTCAAATAAATGCCTTGCTTGGAATGAGCAACTTCTATACCAAGAAAATATTTTTGTTTGTCTAGATTTTTTTATCTTAAATTGATCATGTAAAACTGCTTTGATTTTGTCAAATTCTTCTAGTGAATTTCCAACAATGATTATGTCATCTACATACACCACGTCAAACAAGACTTTAGACAGCGTTTTTTTTTGCTTTAGACAGCGCTTTAAAGCGCTGTCTATTCCAGCGCTGCTGTAGGTAAAGACAGCGCTTTGTTAAAAGTAAAAGCGCTGTTAAATCTCCCTTTATGCAGCCCTTTTACTTTGAAAGCGCTGCTAAAGACCCCCTTTAGCTAGCGCTTTTACTTTTAAAGCGCTGCTAAAGGCCCCATTTAGCCAGTGCTTTTTCTGAAACAAAAAAAAATTAAAAATAAAAAGACCCTTTAGGCAGCGTTTTTAATGTTAAAGCACTGTCTAAAGCCTCATTTAGGCAACACTTTTTTTAAAGGGCTGCTAAAGGCCCCCTTTAGCCAACGCTTTTTCTGAAACAAAAAAGAAATTTAAAAAAAAAGAGCCCCTTTACAAAGCGCTTTTATAGTAAAAGCGCTGTCTAAAGCGGACTTTAGACATCGTTTTTTAAAGTGCTGCCTAATGTCCACGAAATTTTTTATATAACATTTTTGAAAAAAAAACGTTGTTTCATATATATAATTTTATATGCACATATTTTAACCATATTTGCACCAGGTTTTTCCCATATTTTGCACCTGTATATACCATTACAAATTTCACCATATTTTCACTAATATTGGAGCTTCAATCCAATAAAAAATAATACCAAAAGATACTATACATTTGCACCAATGTACTTATATATACTATTACTCTTATACATATATACTTTTACAAAAAAACAACACCAAAACAACACCATTATATACCATTACAAAATCTATTCATCTCTATCTTCTACATATGCACATATAACCTGAAACAACACCAAAATATCGTAATTCATACCATGATACAAACAAAAGATATATAATTTACCACATGACAAACAACAACAAAATTGCAACATTTGAATATACTCAAAATTCTCATCAATTAAAGTAAGATTACAATATACCTTATATAACTTTCGTCTCAATAATGTATTGACACCAATCCTCCTTAAGTTCATCCAACTGAGAACTTGAGTAATAAGCACACTTGAATTCATCAAAGTACTATATAATAATATAATATAGTACGTTTAAGTTAAAAATATTTAATTATATGAGAAATATGTGTTAAATATTAAAATAACTCCTAAGTTAGAAATCCATACCTTAGATGGAATCTCTATTCGATCCAAAAGAAGGATTTCTCTCATAAAACTCAACATCTAAAAACCGCAATCTACTTCATTACGCTGCCGGAGACACTACACATGAAAAGAAAATATGGATAAGGCCTAAGTTTTATCAAGTATCATCACTATTAATATAATCAAATTTGTGATAATTAATTAATATACCTCCATTATAATCCATGTAATGTTGCTGGCTTTACTCTTTGGTACTTGAATACCTCTTTGTGCTCGAAAAACTTGTATAATGCTAATAAAACATAAACGCATATTTAGAACAATTCACATGAATAAATAAATAAATATACACACGAATATTTAGAATAATCTCACTTACGTATCAACCATATTCTTCATATCTTAGTATGTATTTGAATAATTGCGTAAAGAATCCAGATAATATACAACTTCTCTGATAGGATTAATCGCGACCAACAACCAATGTCCACTATAAGATTAAACAAATATGAGATGAAAACTTTCTACATAACGTCAAAATATGAAAAATTATAATATATGAATTTAGAATGAAAATCTAACTCGTTGTGGATATTAAGCGGTAAAAAGAACAAATTTTCGGCATCTTTGTCGGTCATAAAGCGCTCGAGCACATACGCCATGACTTCATCTGGTTTATGCATGATTAACCCTAATTTGGTATTGAAAGGAGATAAGAAAGAGAATCTTTGCTCCAATCCACTCGGGCGCATCAATTTTTCATACAAAAACCTTAAATAAAAGACCTCATTAACATTTGAAATGAGTAAATGAATTGATCAATTAATTAGACAAAGTAGATCAGATATACCTTATGTATGTATTAACAACACCGAGGCCTAATTGCGTATGTTGTAAAACTTGATCAAAATCCTCCATACCAATTGTTTCGGAATATTCAAAACCAAAAATACCAAACTCCATAGGTAGAAGACGAGTATTTCCTTCCGGAATATCAGACATTTCTAAAACTGTCCCAAGGCACGACCTAAACTTGGAAGTAGGTTTTTTTTAGCCGCGGTCTTCTTAGCAACAACTTTTTTTGTGTAGAAATGTTGCTAATTTCAGAATTCTTACCCCTACCGACATCTTCATTCTCTTTAGCATGAATCTAAAGATCATATAATTTGTTATGTGAAGTATAAGATCACAAATTAACATTTTTCATACATAAATATCATATAATTATGATGTACCTCTTTTATTGATGCAACTGACTCGATTTGCCGCGGAATCCCCTTGTCTTTTGCTTTGGATTTTGTTGGAGTCTAATTAACATAACCATGTAAAAACAAATTTACTTAAAATGTGTGTAAAAACTTTGAATACTCAAAGATTCACATATATGGTTTTAAGCATACCTCATCATCTACACTAATGAGGCTTGACAGCCATGCAACAAAAGAATCTATTGCATCTCCCACCAGTGTGGCATCTGAAACATCGTTAGGATATGGTAATAACGCATCCTTCTACAAAGCAATGTCAACCGATACTTTCAAACAGCCAGTAGGGAGCGGTTTAGTGTGAAGTAATTCTCCCAACGTGTTATAAACTTTTCCCTTGCCAACCATACGATAAGTTGGTGACGATAAGTAGAGTTGATAAGGTGAAATTCCCTATAACCAATAATAAATTTCAAATTGTTATTGTGTATATATTTCAATTAAATAAATTAAGCTACTTTAATTTCATAATGATATATATAATTTCCTCTGGAAGATTCGGTTGAAAATTACAACCGATACTACCTTTGTCACTAGTAGCTTTAAAACATGAAGCTTGCTCTCTTAATTCTTTTTCCCTTCTCAATTCACGAACTTTAGCTTGTAGTGCTTCCAAGGTTTCCTGCAGTTCTTTATTTCTAGGAGTCTTTTATGTTTTCATATTCAATGATTTTGGAGTGATTCCAAATCCCTTACCCCTCACCCGATCAGAATACTCACGAACATCTAATGCTCGACTAAGTATGCTCTTGCAATCATTGTCTTCATCTGGACATATAGACTGAGATAGAGTCTCCTGAAATTCATATGAATATTGAAAATTTGTCTTAATTATATGTTACTAAACTTTTGATTTAATTAAAGAAATAATTCTATACTTACAGATATCTCAAAAAAATTTTGAACCTCGTCTTTGATAACTCCATCCTTACCCACACGGGCTTCCTTCCACAAAACATGTACCGGAAGAGATGTTTCAGAATTATTCTCCTTTGTTAACTACACATTAAGCCAAATAATATAA